TTACTGCAGGAAGGTCAGGTCACTGATGATAACTTGCAGAGTACATTTCTTTCGTTTCTATGGCTGGATGATCTTTATAACCTATCTCCCTATCCTCATATAGTAAATTCCATTTGGTCTCAGCCCAAATCTTGGCCCCAGCAGCTTGGAAAGGGCTTTTCTGTTAACAGTGGTGTACTTCAGAGAGAAGAATTTAGAGTATTTAGTATTTTCAATTCAAGCAAATCCATTATTTCATCCAGTCTGCTTTCTATCTCAGAGGCTGTCAAAGTTCTCCTGACTACACATGTATGGAGCCCAAGACACAAGCTGCTCGGGGAGGTCCACCATCTTTGGAGTTAGGGGAGGTCCAAAATCCTTCCACGGCACTGGGAAGTTCAGAGAAGCAGTTCATTCAAAGTACATTTTGTATGGAAAATAAAACCTAGTATTGTATACAAGTGTGAGAGTAAAGCCCTTGGTAGAGCCTGAGACATATAAATCTTGAAAGGTTTGGGAATTTAGAAGTTGTTGGCTTCAACATCCCTTCAAACAGGACATGGACAGTGAAGAAGATAGGGGTAAAGTGAATAAAGGGGCGCATTGGGGGAATGAGCCCTACAGTGCCATTCTGAAGTGGAAGGAGCACGACAGCTTCACATTTGCCCATCTACAGTAAGATAACCAGAACAGTGAAATGGAAGGAGCCTACATGTCAGCTGCTGGATAGGAAAAAGCAGAGTTCATGGATGTCAGGAAGACAGGTTCAGAAACGAAAAAGTTGAACCAAACACCCCCAGCTGAACAGTGCCTCATCATATCCTTCACGACACTCTCTGCTCCAGGCTCTGCACTGAGTGCATCCTCTCTCATTCCCCATGGCCTCCATCATCCTTGTTATGAGCACACCCGCTGCCCTGGAGGGGGCTCGGACTTGCCAGTAGATGCCAGTGCTCACATGCTGAAATGCACTGTCAGCAAGATACTAAATGATACATGGTGCCAATCTGTGTTCACAGATGCTGTCTATAGAAAGCAATAAAGAAAAATACCCCTTCCCTGTGAAGATCAGCCAATTTACTAAAGAACCGGATGCTCATCTATCCCTGGATCTTCCTTCTCTGTTGTTTCTATTTCAAATCAGAATCTTAAAACATTTAACCATTATAACCTCTTTCACTGATACGCTTTTAAATCAGTAAAAGGTGACTAAAAGTCTACAAGAAGGTGCCCAGGAGCACAGCTACAATGGCAGACATGGGATCATCTCTTTATCAGCAAAAGTGATCCTTTGTAGCCCTCTATCTTGTCCCCATGTTCGTACTTAAATTCTGCCAGGGCTGATTAGAGTGCTACCAGAGGCAACAAACAGAAACTGTAGTAAGGGAAATCCCAGTTAGACACAAGGAGAACATTCTTCACAGTGGGGGTGGCCAAACACAGGAACAAGTACCCAGAGAGGCTGGGAGATCTCTGTCCTTGGAGACTGCATGAACTTGACTGGACAAGTCCTTGAGCAACTTCATCAGAGTTCAGAGCTGCCCCAGCTTTGAACAGGAGGTTGAACCACATGATTTCCAGAGGTTCCTTTCAAACAATGGCACTTAAGACGTAAGTCTTAAGACACCATGGTTCTGCCATGCATCTTTTTGTGGGGTGCCCAGACTCCTTGACACAGGTCTCAGCTCTGGCTCACACATCTCTAAGGACAGGTTTCCAGTTACACAGTCTTATTATCACCTTACAGATTCACATCACTCTCAGACTGCGTGGTCTTTCCCACAGTACTTTCTGTCCCTAACAGGATCTTTCAACTCATATAGTTTTGTCCATGGAGCATGGTCCTTCACTATTCTGTTGGGTCAAGCTGCATAGTGCCGTGCTATTTATTGCTATGTAGAAAGGGGTTGATAACACACCAATGTTTTGGCTACTGCTGAGCAGTGCTCGAACAGCATCAAGGTTGTGTTCTCCAACATTCTCCCCCACCACCATCACCAGTGGGTTAGAAGGGGGCAAGACCTTGGGAGGGGATGTAGCCAAGACACCTGACCCAAACCAACCAAAGGGATATTCCATACCATATGACATCAGATCAGATATAAAAACTAAGGGAAAAGGAAGAGGAGGGGGGGCATTCATCTTTTATGATGTTTTGTCTTCCTGAGCAACAACTATGCATACTGAAGCCCTACTTTCCAGAAAGTGGCTGGACATCACCTGCTAATGGGAAGTAGAGAATAAAATCTTGTTTTGCTACCACATGCGGCCTTTGCTTTTGCTCTTTTATTAAACTGCCTTTATCTTGACCCATGAGCTTGCTTTCTTTTCCATCTCATTCTCACCCCACCTGTCCCGTTGAAGAGCGGACTGATAGAGTGGCTTGGTGGCACTTGGCGTCCAGCCAAGGTCAACCCACCACAACTTTGCAAAAAGAAAAATGGGCTTCTACTGTGTTGGGTGATGTAGACAATTTGAGTTATTATAGAAAGTAGCATCCAGACTGTTTCTCACTTCCAAGTTACAAGAAAGCAGAACAGATGATGTTATTTCAGGTGATCTGCTATTGTTCCCTTGAGCATTCTCCCCCAAAAACTGTGGTGAGTCTTCCCTTCATATTCATAGATCACATAGTCATGGAAATATTTAATTTGGAAGGGATCTCTGAAGTCCATCTGGTCCAAACTCCGGCTCAGCAGATCTAATTTCAAAGCTAGATCAGATCAGCCCAGTCCCTGTCCAGTCAAGGTCAGAAAATCTCCAAGGATGGAGATGACACACCATCTCTCGGCACTCTTCCAATATTTGACCACCCTACCTGTAACTTATGACCATTTCTTCTTGTCCTTCCACTGTATATTTCTGAGAGTTTGACTCCATCTTCTCCATAACCCCTTTATGCGCTGAGAGACTGGAGTTGGATTCTTCTTAGCTTTCTCTTCTCCAGGCTGAACAAATCCAGTTGTCAGAGTCTGTCCCTGTAAATCAAGTGCTCCAGCTCCTAAGCATTTTGGTGTCTCTCCCCTTGACCAGTTTTAGTATTTATGTGTTTAATGAGATTTTTTTTTTTTTACTGGGGAGCCCAAAGCTGGAGATAGTACTCCAGCCGCATGCACACAAGTGATGGAGAGAAGCGAATCATATCCTCCTTCGCCCTATTACTATCACCTCTTGCTAAGTCAGTCCAGTGTGTAGTTAGCCTTTGCCACAAGGGCTCACTTCTCTTATTTGTTAAATCCTGTCTCTGTCCTTTTCCCCACATTCTGATTTCCCATTTCTCCCTCTGAGAAGACGACATTAGACTCTAGACAGCACTTCCTACCTCCTCTGTGTGATTAAATAGCTTCAGCAGCTATTTGCAGCTGAGAACTTTGCTCTCAATTGAATAATGAAAAAGGCACAGCGCTGAGGTTAGTCTGTTTTAAAATGTGGAAAGCTCAAAGGAGATGAAAGTCATGCGAAGGCTAAATGGAAAAGAGGGAAAGTATCAGGCCATACATTTACTGGAACTCATGTGTCTGTAGACCTGGGGATGCAGATCCAGGCTGAGATGTGACAGGTAGGGAGAGAGATCTTCCCCTGAGGGAGGAAAAGGAGGAGTCACAAAAAACACTTGAATACAAATATCTTGTCTTAGGGCATTTGAAGTGTGACTCACTCTGCTATCTCCTCCTTCCTTCTGCTATCTCCTCCCTCTTTCTGGGTTGGGTTTTTTTTTTTTTTTTGCTTCTCCTTCACAAATCATTCAGTCTTTCTTTTAAGAGGATCGTTATTGAACCACGAATGAGTTCTCAGATAATGCAGACGAATGCAGAGGAAGAGGACGGATACTCTAGTTTAAATCACCCACCACAGCATCCAGCCGGACACTACATGTCCCTGAACATCAACCAAGGTACGACTGACACTTGCGCTTTGAACTTTCTACGCTACAGTAGACAACGACAATAGGAACAGCCTCTCTTGTCCAGCTCAGTAAATAAGAAAAGTATGTACATATAGGTTTAATATTATAGGCTTAATGCAGTATTTGTATTGTTTTGTCTGATAAAAAAGACTGCATGAATGTGAGAATGCATGGAGTGGAACTACTGTCATTACTTGACCTAAATTTCTGTAGGAAAAGACAGGTGGCTTCAGGATCAAATTCTGGAATGTAGGAATCAGCTTTTAATACGGTTAGTTTTATTTATTGTTTATTTATTATTACAGGAAATGGCTATAGAGACAGGACAATCTGACTTTAATAGTGAAAAACCTTTGACCTTTTGCCCTATGGACCTCAATTTTTCAGAAAATGCTTAAGATTCATAGCCTTTAAGGCCATGAGACAGCACTGGGCCTGAATGCACAGGTCATGTCATTTCCTTTCTTCAAGTCCCATAGCCTTGTTTGGGCCAAACCATGTACTTCAGGAGGGCATCCAGTCTTGAGCTGAATATTTCTTCATCTGAAAGGTCCATCATACTGCATTGCCATGACCATGGTGATGATAATGCTCAGGAACTTTTGAATCCAGGGAAACCTCAGTGGATATTTTGGACTCCAGAATTTTCCTGAACTGGGATTCAGTCTGGAGCTGGCATGCAGCCTGAGCACCATGTGCCCTGAGAGCAGAAAGGACTTGTGCAAAGTGTAGGATGGTATGCAAAAACTTCCTTACTCTGGTCTGACAGAGCAGAGTAATACAGTACTGCCAAAGGAGAGCAGGAGCATCCCCTGCTTCTAAGTCAAAGGATCACTATAATGTTTCATAGTTTCATCATTTCTCAAGGGCAAGGAATCTCCTACCTGTTCCATTTGCCTCCTTTCAAACAGACCTCTTTAACAGAGGCACCACAGCTTTTTCTCAATTTGCATTTGGGTTGATCCTTAAAATACAATACAGACTGGAAGAGGAACTCTTTCGAAAGTCATCAGATGGCTCTTCACGGAGGGGCAGAGGCTTGGGAGGGCTGCTTAACAGTTTGCCTGACCTCAGATAAAGTGTTGGTTTCTTCCAGGGCACTCTCTTCCCTTTGCTGTATGGTGGCCAGCTATCTTCACTTTCTTTGCACTGTGCCTGGCCCTCACGATAGGAATGACAGTCCTAGGTAAGTGATGAAATATACTGTGTTCCTTTATTCATATTAACACCTTGGGAATAATTGCATTGAAGAAAGGTGGCAGACTGGCTGCAACAAGGACAGTTATAGCTCATCCTCCCCACAAATACTGTCCTTTCCTCTCCTAATTGCCTGCGAGGAACACTCTGCAACTTGGTACTCAAGGCTTTGAGGAAAGCAATTTTTTTTAAGTCTGGACCTGTGCCCAGAGCAAGGATACAGAAATTACTCATTTATTTGCTAATTCAAATTCAAGTATAAAATTCTAATGTTGACTTTCATAAATCAGTTTGTTGTTTCCCTTCTCCTCTTTTCCTGTTGTTCAAGTCTCACTACTCTACTGGAATATCAGTTCTTGTCTCATTCCTTTGATAAACCTTTCATGTTTGTAGACTAACTTTTCATATTTATAGACAAACCTTTCATGTTTGTAGACTACTGTCTTAAATGAGTTCATACTAGTATGTTAAAAATGGACGTACTTCTAGAGCTCAGATTCATGAGGAAATCTCACTTTTTCTGTCTGTTTCACTCAGTCATCCCAGTTTACCTGAGATGTGCAATAGAACTGAAGACTCTAATATTTATATTATCTTTTATCATATGTGACATGACTGTAACTATATTTTCTATCACAGAGCCTGGATATAGACATTCTGAGCCATTGCTACCAAAAGCCACTATCTAAATACTATTGAGAAAGATATATAAAAACAACCTCCACTTTCTTTAGAGAAGTTTTACCAGCCTTTAAGAACAAAAGGTTTTTCCAACCTGAAGTTTCTTTAGAATTTTATTTTTTTTTCAAAGGCTTTTAAAACTTCTTTTAAGATCAACATGTCTAGTTCAAGATAGTCCTTCCTAAGCATATTTTTTTGCATTGTTTTAGTCTTTTATTAGGTTACCAAGTGGCCTGCAATGGCACTGTGATTAAACTGCATTTAAAATTTGGAAATCTCTTTATCCATCATTTTCTCATCTACTAATCTCCTCACAATATGTGACACTGTAGGATCAGAGTTGCATGTGAGCACGCTGTTGCGAAAAGTGAATTTGCAATGTATGATGAAGCATGTATCATGCAGCAGCATCATCACAGCTTTTTTGTCTCATGAAGAATATCTCTATAAACTCCAGGTCTCAGAGATTCTAAGGCACCTGAGGCACAAAATGAAAACCTGCAAGGACTAAAGGAGAGATTGTGCATGATGGATGATGCAATCAGTAAGAACGATAGTAAGTAGAACTACTGCTCACACAGCCTGAAATCTATGTGTTAGGCCTTATATCAAATTAAACATGGGTGTTATACACTATATCAAATTAAATAATGAGTTTTAAAATAAAAAAGAATGAGTGAAGATGTGACCAACGAAGTGTCATACACATTTCAGCTGTGCATAACTTTGAGTTTCCAGGCCTATGGGTGTAGACTCTTCTACTCTTCATTTGGCTGTTTATAAGGGACTGATGGTTTCTTTCTCTTCCAGGATCCACATGTTCACTCTGCCCTGTAAACTGGAAATGGATTGGAGGCAACACCTGTTTCTACTTTTCAGAAGAGGAGGCCACATGGCAGGAAAGTAAAGACTTCTGCTTCTCCCTGAATGCCACCCTTCTTATGCTGAAGAGGAAAAGCAAGCTGGTATGGTTCCAATCATACTGGCATTGGTATCAACTATTCAAAACTCCTCACTAGTCAGCAAGTACCTCTTGACATTACATAGTAATAGAGGTACTGTCCCCAAGGTCTGAGGCAATGCAGACTGCAAAGCATTTAACCACAAGTGTGTAATGATGAGGTAGCTAGCAACGCAGGAAATTATTCAGCCTAACAGTGGACATGAGTGTCATGGGTTCTGTGAAAGCTATAAGCAGTCAGTCTTTCATTCAGGAAATCCCTTTGAATACTTTGAGAGACAGGGCTCTAAAAAGAATTGTTGCCCTGTTCTTACATTTAGTAGAGAAGCCAGACACAAACTTTTCCTATTTGCATGCCAAATAGAGATGTTGTCTCTTGGAAACTGTTATGAGGGCCTGATGAGGAGTTCAGAGAGGCATTCTCAAATTGCCTCCTTTGGTTCTGTCTTGATCACCTCCTCTCTCAACAGTAGTTGTTTAGGTACAGCAAAAAAATTACCCACAAGCTCCTTGGTGATAAAAGTTTTGCATTTTTTATAGATTAGCATATCTCATCTATCACAAAAAAAATCTTACTGGGTTGGATTATCATACGGAGTTGATGGCTGGTCTTGGATAGACGATACAAAACTTTCTACAAAGAGAACAGACTGGTAAGTTTTCTGAACGTAAACAGTTGGTGGTTTTTAATCCCTGCTTGCACAATATCCTCCCTGCACTAAAGGAGGAGGAAACCAAATCCCATTAATAGCAAAGCTTCAAGGCAGAATACAGCCACAGATGTATTTGGTGTTAAAATACTCTTTTAGGTGTGGAGTCCCTGAAATAGAGAAAGAGTCTCAGAAAACTGGAAACATGAGCAGGAGAAGGAGTCAACAAACTAGTGCAACCAGTGACAGCTCTCACTATTTAAACCTGTTCACAATTATGAAACATAGGAAGCAACCCGCACTTCCTTCAAGACAGCCTACCTCCTGCAAAGCCTGCCTGCACCTGTCTCTTTACTCAGCCACCATTATCCCAAATTCAATTCTTTCTTCCAGCAAAATTTTGGAATCTTTATTACACAAAAATAATCAACATTAGTTAGAGAGAAGCTATTTACTTTTTCTGTTAAATCTCATAAGTTTACTCTGTGTATTTCTCCTTTACTAACTTGGAGAAAAAAAATCAAATTTTCATTCTGTTCTGTGTGAAGTGATCACTGTATGCAGTAATATGAGAATCCTCTTCAGGGTCTGAAGAACTTTTGTTGAGTGAAGATTCTGCAGCACCTCCTTGGGAACACATGCTATTTTTGTCTTGAAAACTCTTATACCTCCTGCAGCTAGTAGCCATTGGGCAGAATGATCTGGCTTCTGGTTGGGCAGACCACTGTCTTTCAGTTTCCAGACCCAAATTACCACTACATAAAGCAAGTGACATAAACATAAAGGAGTGACATAAACACTGGTGAGGAACTAGTGCTATTTTCTGCTTTGATGATGCTTTATACGTAGGCTTTCTTTTTTACATCTTTGAGCTGAAGACAGGTAGGGGAATGATCATAGAATGCTTTGGGTTGGAAGGGACCTCCCCTGCAATTAGCAGGGACACCGCTAACTCTATCAAGTTGCTCAGAGCTCCGTCCAACCTGTCCTTGAATGTTTCCAGGGATGGGGCCTCCACTACCTCAACCCGTTCCAGTGTTTCACCACACTCATTTTAAAAAATTTCTTACTTATATCTAGTCTAAATCTACCCTCTTTACATTTGAAACTATTACCCCTTGTCCTATCACAACAGGCCCTGCTAAAGAGTTTGGCCCCATCTTTCTTACAGGCCCCCTTTAAGTACTAAAAGGCCACAATAAGGCCTCCCTGCAGCCTTCTCTTCTCCAGGCTGAACAAGACCAACTCTCTCAGCCTTTCCTCATAGGAGAGGTGTTCCAGCCCTCGGATCATTTTTGTGGCCCTCCTCTGGACCCGCTCCAACAGGTCCATGTCTTTCCTGTGCTGAGGGCTCCACAGCTGGACACAGTATTCCAGGTGAGGTCTCATCAGAGCAGAGTAGAGGGGCAGAATCACCTCCCTTGACCTGCTGGCCACGCTTCTCCTGATGCAGCCCAGAGTACGGTTGGCCTTCTGGGCTGCAAGTGCACTTTGCAGGCTCATGTCCACCTTTTCATCCACCAGTACCCCCAAGTCCTTCTCCACTGCTCTCAGTCCCTTCATCCTCCAGCCTGTATTGATACTTCGGGTTGCCCCAGCTCAGGTGCAGGACCTTGCACTTGGCCTTGTTGAACCTCACAAGGTTCACATGGGCCTACTTCAAGTTTGTCCAGGTCCCTCTGGATGACATCCCATCCTTCTGTTGTGTCAACCACACCACTCAGCTCGGTGCCATCTGCAAACTTGCTGAGGGTGCATTTGATCCCACTGGCTGTGTCAATGATGTACAGACCACTGAGGGACACCACTTGTCACTGATCTCCATCTGGATATTGAGCCGTTGACCACCACCGTCTGCATGTGACCATCCAACCAATTCCTTATCCACCAAACAGTCCACCCATCAGATCCACCACTCTCCAATTTAGAGAGAAAGATATTGTGGGGGACTGTGTCAAAGGCCTTACAGAAGTCCAGATAGATGACATGCGTTGGTTTTCCCTTGTCCACTGATGTAGTCACTCCATCGTAGAAGGCCATTGGTTGGTCAGGCAGGACTTGCCCTTAGTGAAGCCATGTTGGCTGTCTCAAATCACCTCCCTGTCCTCCATGTGCCTTAGCATAGCTTCTAGGAGGATCTGTTCCATGATCTTCCCAGGCACAGAGGTGAGGCTGATGGGTCAGTAGCTCCCAGGGTCCTCTTTCTACTATTTTTTAAAATGGGTGCAATGTTTCCCTTCTTCCAGTCCCCAGGGACTACACCTGACTGCCATGACTTTTCAAATATCATGGAGAATGGCTTGGCAACTACATCAGCCAATTCCCTCAGGACTCTGGGATGCATCTCATCAGGTCCTTATGTATGTTCAGGTTTCTCAGGTGGTCATGAACCTGATCTTCTCTTCCAGTGGGAGGGACTTCAACTTCCCAGTCCCTGTCTTGCAGTCCATCCACTTGAAAGATGTGGGAAGAGAGGTTTCCAGTAAAGACTGAGGCAAGAAGTTGTTGAGTACCTCAGCTGCCTTCTTGTCCTAGTAAGGACTAGTAAGTCTTACTCATCAGGGAGGAATATGCTTTCTTTGACCTTCCTTTTCTGGCTGACACACCTGTAGAAGACATTCTTTTTATTCTTTGCATGCCAAGTTCAGCTCCAGATGTGCCTTGGCCTTCCTGACCCCATCCCTACACAACCAGGTGGTGTCCCTATATTCTTCCCAGGATACCTGCCGCTACTTCCACTGCCTATGCATTTCCTTCTTGCCCTTTAAGTTTGACCAGCAAGTCTCAACTCATCCATGCTGGTCTCCTGACTTCCATTCCTGAAGTTCCCTGGATCCTCCTACCGGCCCTTCTTGTAGATGGGAGTCACACTGGCAAGCCTCCAGTCATCTGGGACCTCCCCCGTTAACCAGGACTGCTGGTAAATGATGGATAGTGGCTTGGCAAGCTCCTCTGCCAGCTCCTTCAGTACTTTTGGGTGGATCCCATCCAGCCCCATAGACTTGTGGATGTCCAGGTGGTGTAGCAGGTCATAAACTGCTTCCTCCTGGATTATGGGGTGTTTATTCTGCTCTCCATCCCTGTCTTCCAGCCCGGGGACTGAGTACCATGGGGATAACTGGTCAGACTATTAAAGACTGAGGCAAAGAAGACATTAGGTACCTCAGCCTTTTCCTTATCCTTGGTGGCAATGTTCCCCTTGGCATCCAATAGAGGATGGAGGTTCTCCCTGGCTCTCTTTTTGCTGCTAATGTATTTGTAAAAACATTTTTTGTTATGTCTTACAACAGTGGGCTTCTGCCTTTCTAATTTTCCCTCTGCATGACCTAACAAGATCCCTGTACTCTCCTTGAGTTGCCTGCCCCTTCTTCAAAAACTGGTAAACTCTCCTTTTTTTCCTGAGTCCCAGAAAAAGATCCCTATTCAGCTAGGCCAGTAGTCTTCCCCAGCGATTCATCTTATGACACATGGGGACAGCCTGCTCCTAAGCCTTTAAGACATCCTTCTTGAAGAATGACCAGCCTTTCTGGATTCCTTTGCCCTTCAGGACTGTCTCCCAAGGGACTCTATCAACCAGTGTTCTGAACAGGCCAAAGTCTGCCCTCCGGAGGTCCATGGTGGTGGTTTTGCTGACCCCCCTCCTTACTTCACCAAGAATCAAAAACTCTATCATTTCGTGGTCGCTAAGGCCAAGAAGGCCTTGACCACCACTTCTCCCACCAGTCCTTCTCTGTTAGTAAATAGCAGGTCAAGCAAGGCACCTCCCCTGGTAGGCTCACTTAACCAGCTGTGTCACTCCAGGAACCTCCTAGACTGTTTCCTCTCTGCTGTGTTGTATTTCCAGCAGATGTCCAGTAAGTTGAAGTCCCCCACAAGAACAAGGGCTCGCGATTGAGAGACTTCTGCCAGCCACTTGTAGAATACTTCATCTACCTCTTCATCCTGGCTGGGTGGTCTATAACAGAGTCCCAGCAGGATATCTGCCTTGTTGGCCTTCCCCCTCATCATCACCCACAAGCACTCGGCCTCATCATCACAATCATCAAGCTCTGTACAATCAAAACACTCCCTAACATAGAGCCAGCCCACTGCCTCTTCTTCCTTGCCTATCCCTTCTGAAGAGCTTAGAGCCATCCATTGCAGCACTCCAGTCATGAGAGGCATCCCACCATGTTTCATCTGAGTTTTCCTGCTCCTTTCAGTGTTCCTCCCTGCCACTGATGGGATTGAGAAAAACACTACTATCTTGACATCACCAATTAGCTCACTTGCATTGGTGACCAACATGATCCTTCAGACTTGAATTATATGAGCTGTTATGTTCTTCAATATTTTGTGCAAACCTTTATAAGCCTTAAAATGACTAAGCAACTTTTGCAATAATGTATGATTGTCCAAAAGGCCTATGTTTTTTTTTTTTAATTTTTATGTGATAGTTTTTAACAAGATGTTGTGGGTTTTTTTTTCTAGGATTGTTTTGTCCTCAAAGCAAAACTGTGCATGCCTGTTTTATCGTAATTCAGGAGTTTACAGTGAGAATTGTTATGAGAAACATCCCTGGATCTGTGAGAAGGCAGCAGTCCAGCTGATGTAAAAAGATTATCAGCAGAAAAAAGAACTGGAAGAGTACGAAGAAGATTCTGATGTTCACATTTTTCAAAGAAGAGGTGTAAAATAGTGTTTAATACAAATTCAGAGCAGAGTCCATCCTTTTTTCCTAGCGTATTCACAAAAATACAAATATGGAAAAGAGACAGAAAGCCTTTGCAGATAAAAAGAACAAGCAGTAACAAATATCTACAAATCAGATATTAGTCTCATTGTTCTAGTTCAGAAACCTTAATGTTGCTGACAATCTTAAGCATTACTGACAGCCAAATAAATCAGAGGTGTAAAGGCCTGTGGGACCACTTCCTGTCGCTCTGATTGGAATTTCATATATATCCATTTCTACCAAGACTCTCTCTTTAGTCCATTTGATCTTACTCAGATGATGGGTCTTCTCTCCCTTCTGTTTGTGAAGATATGCTAACCTGCAATAACTCTTAACTACTTCCAGCCCTCTCTTCAGCACATTCACTTTCAGTTATTCTATATTCCTCTAAAACTCCAAGGCAAGCTCTCCTCTCCTTTACTACTCAAAGACATGTAGCTCCCTTGTTCACTGCTTGGTAGTGAAACATCACTTGGCATCCTCATCTTCTTCTTGATTGGGTATAATATATGAATTTTAGATATGTTGAAATTTTACTTCCAGGTAATGATGCTTTTCCTTTACATGCAATAATGTGATCTTCTGAGAATGCCCAGAAGCCAATGTTAAATGAGTTTTAATAAACAATATGCTATTATCATAATCACCATTGCAGTTATGAAGGGAGAATGGCAATAATGATTGGACTTTTCCAAGAATGCCATCTGAGGGCCATTCCTCTTCATCTAATACAGAATATGTCCATCCCTTTACCTAATGCATCTCATCATATGAAAAGACGGAAATGTGGCATGAATGGCTGCACATTGAATGAATGTGGCATGAATGGCTGCACTGATAGCTGGAATGTTGTGATGGTATTCAGAAAAGTATTTATTGCTGAATGGGGAACTGAATTTTCCAATGTACTGGAAACCACATATTTTTGGTATTATATATTAACTGTCCTTTGGAATGGATGATTTTCTAAATCTAGGTAACTGTATCTGGTGTACCTTGTTCAGGATCCTGAGGAGAGGGAGGTAGGTATAAAGCAAGTTCACAACCCTGGACTTCAGGAGAGCAGACTTTGGCCTCTTCAAAGATCTGCTCAAAAGAGTCCCATGGAATAAGGCCCTGGAGGGAAGAGGGGCCCAGGAAAGTTGGTTAATATTTGAGGATTGCCTCCTCCAAACTCAAGAGTGGTCTGTCCCAATGAGTAGGAAGTCAGAAAGGAATGCCAGCAGGCCTATGTAGACGAACAAGCTGATCTTGGAAAAAGTTGAACACAAATAGAAAGCATACAGAAGGTGGAAGCAGGGACAGGTAAGCTGGAAGGAACACAGAAACACTGTCTGACCATGCAGGGATGAGGTTAGGAAAGCCAAAGCCTAAAAGGAATTGAATCTGGTGAGGGGTGGCAATGGCAACAAGGAGGGCTTATACTAGTACATAGGTGACAAAAAGACTACGGAAAATGTGGGTCCACTGCTGAATGGGACCAGGGACCTGGTGACACAGGACCTGGAAAAGGGTGAAGTACTGAATGCCTTCTTTGCCTCAGTCTTTACTAGCAAAACTGACCTTCAGGAATCCCAGGTCCCAAAGACCAGGCAAAAGTCTGGAGCAAGAAAGATGTAGCCTTGGTGGAAGAGGATCAGGTCAGGGAATACTTAAGCAAGCTGGACATGTGTAAATACATGGGACATGATAGGATGCACCCACAAGTGCTGAGGGAGCTGGCAGATGTCATTGCAAAGCAACTCTCAATACTCTTTGATTGATCATGGTGACTGGGAGAAGTTCCTGAGGACTTGGAGGAAAACAAATGTAATTCCTATCTTCAATAAGGGCAGGAAGGAGGACCGAGGGAATTACAGGTCAATCAGCCTCACCTCAATCCTGAAGAAGCTGATGGAGCAACTAATCGTGGAAACCATTTCCGGACACATGAAGAACAAGGAGGTGATTGGGAGTAGCCAGCATGGATTCACCAAGGGGAAGTTGTACTTGACCAACCTGATAACCTTTTATGATGAGGTGATTGGTTTGGGAGACAGGGATAGAGCAGTGAATATTGTCTACCTGGACTTCAGTAAGGTTTTCAACACTTTCTCCCATAAAATCTTCATAAAGAAGCTATTGATGTACAGGCTGGGTGAGCAGGCAGTGAGGTAGATTGAAAACTAGTTAAACAGATGGACCTAGAGGATGTTGATCAGTGGCATTAAGTCTACAGCTGGAGGCCAGTCACTAGCAGTGTACCCCAGGAGTCAACACTGGATCTGACCTGGTTCAACATCTTCATTAAGGATCTCGATGCTAGGGCAGAGTTTGCTAATGACACAAAACTGGAAGGAGTGGATGATATACCATAGGATTGTGCTGCCATCCAGACCTCAACAGGCTGGAGAAATGGGCTGACAGGAACCTCATTAAGTTCATTAAGGGGAATTGCAAAGTCCTGCAACTGGAAAGGAACAACCCCATGCACCGGTACTTGGTGGGAGCTGACCAGCTGGAAAGCAGCTTTGCAGAAAACGATCTGGGATTCTGATGGTCACCAAATAGACCAAGAGCCAACAGTATGCCTGTGTGACAAAGAAGGCTTATGGTATCCTGGACTGCCTTAGGAGGAGTGTTGACAGCAGGTTGAGGGAGGTGATCCTTCCCCTCTGCTCAGCACTGGTGAGGTCACACATGGAGTTCTTGGTCCAGTGCTGGGCTCCCCGGTACAAGAGAGACATAGGCATACCGGAGAGAGTCCAATGAAAGACCATGAAGATGACGAAGGGACCAAAGCATCTCTCCTATGAAGAAAGGCTGAGAGAGCTAAGATAGTTTAGCCTGGAGAAGAGAATGTTTGGAGGGGAAATTATTAATGTATATAAATACCTGAAGGGAGAGTACAAAGAGGATGGAGCCAGGCTCTTTTCAGTGGCACCCAGTGACAGGACCAGAGGCAATGGCCACAAACTGAAATAGAGGAGGCTCCCTCTAAACATCAGGAAACACTTTTTTACTGGGAGGGTGACTGAACAGAGAGGTTGTGGAGTCTCCCTCCATGGACATATTCAAAAGTAGTCTGGACATAGTCCTAGACAACTGGTTCTAGATGACCCTGCTTGAGCAGGAGGGTTGGAGCAGATGACCTTCAGAGGTCATAGAATCACAGAATGGTTGGGTTGGAAGGGACCTTTAAAGATCATCTAGTCCTATCCTCCTGCCCCGGGCAGGGACATCTTCCACTAGTTCAGGTTGCTCAAAGCCCCGTCCAGGTTGCTCAAAGCCCCGTCCAGGTTGGACAGGGCTTTGAGCAAGTGGAAGATGTTGAACTACTGGAAGACACTGAACACTTGGGAGGGGGCATCCACAACTTCTCTGGGCAACCTGTTTGGTGTCTCACCACCCTCATCATAAAATTTCCTTTCTTATGTCTAATCTAAATCTACCCTCTTTTAGTTTCAAACTGTTGCCTTTTGTCCTGTCAACTACAGGCCTTGGTAAAAAGTGTCTTTCTATCTTTCTTATAAGCTCCCTTTATGCATTCAAAGGCCACAGGAAGGTCTCCCCAGAGCAACTCCAACTTTCTCAGCCTGTCTTCATAGGAGAGCTGTTTCAGTCCTCTGATCTGAGGTCCCTTCCAACCTCAACCATTCGGTGATTCTGTGTTTTTTCAAGAGCTCATATTTTAGACACTAGTGAATAAAATCTGTGTGTGATACCAACATGGCCATGTTCAAATGGCGTGCCCAATTTAATAGTGCTTGCCATTTTTTAGTAGGAACACTGATTACAATACTTGCCTTTTTATCGTTCTCAGTTTGAAAGTGACTCTGAGGTCTTTACTTCATGTTGGAAAATTTAGTTGAGTGGACAAATTGGAAAATGTATTTTGATGTATTTTTGTAACACTTAATACATTACATCCACTAGAACTTTGATGTACACTTCTATATGCATTTTGCATATAGATGCAACTAGAACCACCACATTTGACAATGACACAACTTTGTCTATGAATGTGTGATATTTGTGATACAGTCTTACTTACACAGCAGAAGAAACTGCTCCCTTTCCTTGGTTGTAACATTATACTTCAAAACACAGATTTTTTAAGTGCATAAGACTTTTGCCATCATAACATGGACAAATTTATGCTAATTATTTATTTATTTTCCCCTACAAAATACTGCTTTCCAGCTACACAACCCTTATTAAATATCTGCACCACAATTTGTGCTATGACAACTGTCAACTTAATTTGACATTATAAATATCAGCAAATGTGACTTCAGTACAGTCATTTGACTGTTCACCTCCAAGAAATGTTTTACCCACAAAGGTCACCTGTGCATCTTGTGCATTTAGGTGTGTTCCAGCTGAGTGCTCCGATTTCATATGTCACTTGAGTCTGGTTTTTTGTTTCAGGTGCCCACTGTTACTGCGGTGTTCTTCTAAAAAAAACCCAGTAGGTCTATCGAATGAGACAGAAATAAAATACAGGAAACTGAACAGGAAGAAAACACTGGCTTTGATGCTGATGCCTTAATCACATTTATGTGGTCTTTCTCTCCCAAAGAATATTTCATAACTCTGAACATTTTTGTTTCAAATCAGAACAAAAGGGCAACCCTTCTACAGAAGGAATGAGCATTTCTTCCTGCTCAGTTTCTTGGTGGGCCTCCAGAATGGTGAGAAGCAGAGAGGGTAGGCAAGTCTTCAGGATATGTGTGATTGCAAACCACTGACTCTGAATTTCTGAAACAGATATAGAAATAGGAATCTTTGGAAGCATTTAGACAAGATCTGCATTTTAGTTTTCAAATGTAAAATCTCAAGTATCTTTTTGCGAAATTTACCAGAAGGGAATCTTAATTTAGCAAAAGGAGAAATCTTCACATGACTCCAACCAGAGAACTGGAAGATTAGTAACATTTCCTTTTTTTACTTCTTTATTTAGCATTAAAACTAATTCTTTTACCCACGAGGGTTAGGGATGAGATAGTGGTGGAAAGAGAATCAAAGACTAGAGGGAGAGCAAAAGATTAGACTAAACAAGCTTGAATGCATACATAAATGCAGGTTTCCAAAATCCTGACTCTGTCTGCAGAATTCCAAGTGCACAGAAAAAAATGCTCTTGGCCATGTCTCATGGCTTTGACTTTATTTTAGGTTTAGGACTCATCTTAAACAAAACTGAAAACCTCAGAAAACTTTAATATTTCACTCAAAGCAACCAATATGCATCTGCATTTACTATGATATATTCAACAAATCATTGCACTTCTCTCCTTGCTTCCTTGTTCTCTCAGCAGTCCTTAGCAGAGGTGATTTAGCAGCATTTTCCACATGGCATGTGGCTGTGCTACTTGAAAAATGACGGTATGTTTTGCAAGGCCTGCTGTTTAAAGACAACAGCTCTGTCTCCACATGAGAGTGGCTTGTGAGCTGAAGGCTTGTTTGTAACAATGTGGCATGGGTACAATGTTAATACTCCGATTTTAATGGACACTATATTGAGTTGAAAAGGCTAATTATAGACTCAAGGTTTGGTTTTTTTTTATCACTGTGAACAACATAACATTAAGCATACAGAACTGGCTGTGCTAATAAAACCTTATGGCAACAACAGACAACAACCAATTACTAATCTAGTGGTGGTTATAAAAAAAAAAAATTTCACCCTTTGTCTTTTTCAGTGTGCAACAAAACCTAATGATTTGCTTATGAGCATTGTATGGCTTGAAATGACTCAATTCATTCAATTAAAGGTATGATTGCATGCTGCCTTTTGAACTTCATCAGTTTTAAATGCTTTCTGCAGCCAAATGACAGAAGAGATGACATCACTCTTAAGACAAATTAGCATTGAAGTTGTAGTAATTTTGAAGGACCAGACTTCACAGGTAGCTGTGCAAAAGGCAATGGAAACGTTGTTTGCCTAACTCACTGCTTACTGAGAGTGCTCCCTTTACTCAGAAGCACAAACAGATTCCTGTGAGCCAGCTCATTTAAAGGACCGTGGGCAATCTGAAAAAAATTCTGATGAGGACATTCCAAAGGGAGTTCAGAAGAATTGCGTGAAGAATGCACAGAGTGATTTAGAAGATGGTCCAATGTGTGTAGGTGGCTGTGGGAAAGGGTAAAGTGAAGAAGATATGTGCATGAAATTGCTTAGTTCTGAATTGGTTTAAAGTTCTGAACATTTTAACCTCATATAAGAAAACATATGACACCTGTTAAAATAATCCTTGCATTGTCTTACGTATAAGGCTAAATTTTTTTCTCCTGGTTTAAGCTGAAATACAAAAACAGATTTACATTACATATCAAGAAAATTCAGGGTTAGGTACTACTCAAACAAGCACAGTAACGGATTGTACACTGCACATCTCAGGGCAATTACTGGATGCCATGTGCTCTTCCGTGAAACTTGGCTCACTGTGTAGCGGTTATAGTTACGAGTCATTGAGGCATGAAGATGTGGTATAAAACAAAAAAAAAAAATCCAGACGGCAATGAGGACCAAGAACTTACCCCTTGTTTTATAAGTTCCTGAGCTTGCGAATATTCAGCAGCCAGACACAAGGAACAGTGTGCTTCACGCCAGGGACAAGACAGGCTAATGGACTCTCCTCCCAAACACAGTACAGGATTGCAGACTTTCATTCAATATTTCCTTCCTTCATTTTCTGCAGCATTTCACTCCCAGCAGTAGTCCATAATATCAGTGCTTTCCACATGTGACACTTTTCCCTCATCCAGGTCCCTACAATCAACCCTGCTCCCCTTGCTAGTCCGCTGACCCCATGCCCATCACACCAGTTCCCTCATACCAGTTTCGCTCACTGCTTCAGTTCTTCACCAGCTCCTCCTCATACCACCACCCTCAATGAGGGCTCTCCTGCTTCCTTGTGCTGTGATCTTTAGGACCCTGTTTTATCATCAAGGATTATAAGATGGGGCCTCCCACCACACCCTGCATGTGTTAGAACAACAGCCCTGTATGGGTTACCCCTCCCATCATTCACATGGTACCTGCGTGCCCTGTAGACCAGTCAATGCTGGGATCCCAAGCAGTATCTCCATGGCTGCTGAGGGCTTAGACTTAGAAAATGCAGGATTTCCAGACTATGAGGTAACTGTGTGGCAAGACTCTCTCTGTTGTCTCTGCTCCTCTGAATTGCTTCGTCATATCCATAATTAAGATAATTGCCATATTGCTAAACACTCATTTAGTGAGGGATACAGCATGTTTGTTGGCTGTTGCTACTGCAGACTTCTGATGCACATCTTTATGTCTGAAATAAAAATAATAGGGGCTTGCCTAAATACCTTCACCTTTCCCTA